GCCACAGTACTCAAATACTTTGTAGGTGTAGCAAGTGGCCATGTTTTAAAATATGGACTCTATTTTCACTCTAATAAAGATTAGCTCTACTAGATTTGCCCTATTACATCCATTGGCAGTAGCACTCATTGCAACTGCAATAACTCTGGAAGATTAAATAGAGCATCTGAAGAAAAGTTTGGTGCAGTTTTTACCAGTGTGAAAGCTGTTGCAAAGGCTTTAGTACCTTACAGCGAAAAGCTTCTTGTGTATACTAAACTTGATCCCAGAGATTCAGTATGTTGGACATCAAGGAGAAAAACACAGCTAAGCAGCACTACTGTAAATCAAGCAGCCACCTCAGTGTCACTCTTGATGCAGTCATGGAGCCCTTGAAGGGCCACTGAAGTGCCAGTTCTTTCCGTGTCTTCACTTCCTGGCAAGATGCAACACACAAAACAAGCCTGGCCTAACACCACCAGCCACCTCTTAAATCCCGCGTGCAATCTGAGTTCCAGGCCAGTCTGACTTCCCAGCCRGTCAAGCCTCACCTCCATCCTTGGGAAAGAGATGGGACAGTTCATCCTGGCTGTTGTCTCCATGYGCATGGAGGATAAKAAGGTGCTCAGGAGTAGCCAGCATGGATTCACCAAGGAGAAATCATGCTCGACTAACCTGATCGCCKTCTAYGATGGAATGGATGGATAGACAAGGGCAGAGCAGTGGATGTCATCTATCCAGACTTCAGCAAGGCTTTTGACACCATCCCTCACAGCATCCTCCTATGCAAGTTCTGGAGGGATAGATGAGTGGACAGGGAGGTGGATTAGGAAYTGGCTCGATGGCAGAACTCAGAGGTGGTGATCAGTGGTGCCAAGTCTGCTTGGAGGCCTGTGGTTAGTGGTGTCCCCCAGGGGTCCGTTCTCGGTCCGGTCCTGTTCGATTTATTCATCAACGACCTGGATGAAGGGACGCAGTGCTCCCGCARCAAGTATGCTGATGAGCAAACCAAACTGGGAGGAACAGCTGATACCCTAAAGGGCTGTGCTGCCATCCAGAGAGACCTGGACAGACTGGACGACTGGGCGGTGAGAAACCTCATGAAGTTCAACAAGGGCAGGTGCAGGGTCCTGCACTTGGGGAGGAATAACCCCGGACACCAGTACAGATTGGGAKTTGACCTGTTGGAGAGCAGCCCCGCAGAGAGGGACCTGGGTGTCATGGTGGACAARTTGACCATGAGACRGCAGTGTGCCCTCGTGGCCAAGAAGATCCTGGGGTGCATTAAGAAGAGCGTCTCCAGCAGGACGATAGAGGTGATYGTCCCCCTATACACAGCCCTGGTGAGGCCACATCTGGAGCACTGTGTGCAGTGCTGGGCTCCCCAGGACAAGAGGGATGTGGAGCTGCTGAACAGGCCCCRCGCAGGGCTACCAGGATGATCAGGGGCCTGGAACATCTGCCCTATGAGCAAAGGCTGAGGGAGCTGGGCCTGTWCAGCCTGAAGAAGAGACGGCTGAGGGGGGACCTCATCAGTGTCTATAAATACCTCAAGGGAATGAGGGAGGAAGGAGGATGGGGCCAGCCTCTTTTTAATGGTAGCCACTGATAGAACTAGAGGAAATTGCTATAAACTGAAAATTTCCACCAAAAATTCCRCAGGAACTTAAGAAAAATTTCTTCATTGTGAGGGTGCCAGAGCCCTGGAACAGGCTGYCTAGGGAGGCTGTGGAGTCTCCTTCTCTGGAGATCTTCAAAACCTGCTTGAATGCAGCCCTGCACCCCATGCTCTGGTGACCCTGTGTGTGCAGGGGGTTGGACTGTATGATCTCTAGAGGTCCCTTCCAACCTCAAGGATTCTATGATTTTATGACTTGCTTCCTTSCACACTGCAGCAGACTTTTTCAGATGTTTGAATCTAATTCTTTAGAAGCAGCTGTGCTCCCACTGGGTTAACACTTTGCTAAGTCACCTGAGGATGCCTGTGCTCTGCTGAGCTTCCTGTAACCCAGAGTACAACCCATAGTGGGGTTTTCTGTTTTCCAGGGCACACCTGCTCCTCTGCTATTCAATGGAATTGAAACAGACTGCACTAAGAAGAGTAAACGGCCTCTGTGCTTTTTAAGCGGTGTTCTAATTTACCTCCCCATTTCAATCTGTTGTTACTGTGACACGCACCAGGTGTGTTTATTTTTACATCTCCTCATCTAAAAAGGCATATGCGACATACTGACTGGGGTGGGGGGAAGTGTTCTCAGCTCCTAACACATTCTTCATTCGCTGCCTGGTAGGAGCTGGGCACATCACCCCTAGCAAGGAGCTCTAAGCCTGGACTTGCTCATGTGCACCCAGGAGGGGGACCAGTTGTGTGCTGTGAGCGTTGGCTTTTATACATCATGTTCAGTTTTCTCAAAAACCTCTCTGCACATGAATTTAAAGAGTTCTGAGCAGCAGTGAGAGGGAGGTTTTATATCAGGAGTCTTTTGAATGCAGAAACCAAGTACTACAGAGGAACACTTTACGTAAGAACCCATCTTTACTGCAATGCTCAAAAGCATGAGACATGTCCTCAGAGGGCAAATATACAAGCATAAGGACAAGGACATCACTATACAGGCCTAGCTATTTAAGCATTGTTTATGAGAAAGAGTGTGCATAAAAGCAGTCCAATGCAAGAGGAATAGCTGAAGCTATAGTAAAGAACTTTCAGGGCCTAATACTTGTATTCAGAGATTTCCAGTAATTCAGAGTTCACTGCACTGAACGACAGAGCCAGGATATGAAATGAACTTCTCTGCACAGCCAGCTACCATAGTACAGCATCCACTGTCACCCATAATACAGAAATGACCCACGCAGTTAACTACAGATAAGTGAGACAGAACCAGTTTGCACTTTTTGCACTTGAAATTATTTTCTAAAATATTGTTTGTGCAACAGAACATTAGACATTAACAGATATAAATCCTGGCCAAACAGCACTGACTAAGCAAAGAAGAACATAACATAAAAAAGTCAAAGGCATGTTCAAAGACATTGCTGTATTTTTATAAAAAAAAATATATATTCTACAAAAATATATATATATTCTCTAAATATTCCTTTAAAAAGGTGCAGAAACTGTGTCCCAACAGCTGTTTGCTGTGCTTCTGCCAGAGGCTACTGTCCCCAAATGCAATGGGGGCAGGACTGAACGTGCACATGCAGCTGTGCAGCRTCCCTGCTGCAAACCAGGCAGCTTTGCGGGCACCCACCTTCACCTACTGTTCACCTAGGCAATCAGAGTCTGCACATCAGTGACTGTTTCCAGTACATGTTTTGGTCAGTTCCTGCTGCTACAAAGGCAGAAACGGTATTTGAGTGCAAAGGACTAGATGACCTCTGAGGTCCCTTCCAACCTTAAGCATTCTATGAAAGGGACAACTTGGATTGTCATAGTAGGACAGTGAATATACATGCATGTCCCTAAAAGCCAGGCCTCACAAAGGGTTTATCAGAACCCCTRAAAGCCAGGCCTCACAAAGGGTTTATCAGAACCCCTAAAAGCCAGGCCTCACAAAGGGTTTATCAGAACCCCTGTGCCAGACAAATGTTGAAGAACTAGTTTCTGTTAATAGCAGAGATTGTTACCAGTGTAAATCTTAACAACTTCCCAGATAAAATGAGGGTAAAAAAAAACAGAACAGCATCCTCACTAAGTTTCTTCCTAGCACAGATGTTCCTTAGAATCAGAATATTTTACTCACTTCTCCACAGACCTATCTTGGTAAAACTTTCAAGCGCTGGCCATGGCTTCCTACCCATTCAGCCAAACGAGGATACTTTTCACCCCCTCCATTCTCCTGGAACCAKAAACACACATGTGACCCAAAAGGCCACTCTTCTAAGTCTCTATTATTGGAAAAGAAAAAATGAGCAGGTAAAAAAATCCCTTCACATGTGGATGCTTCAAACACAGAGCAGCTACAACCAACAGCTCTAGCTGAACAAAAGTCTTGCTCTGCCACAACAGGAGACTGCTTTCATGCTCAGCTATGGACGTTGTGTGAAATATACAGTTTGTCAGCAAAGTTTCAACTACTTTTGCCCCAGCTCATTCTGAGGAGTGCGGTGTCTAAATCCATTTCACAATCAGTTTAATTCTTCATTGCYGCACAGCAAATTCTTTGCAACATAAGCCAGCTCAGCAGCAACCTTTGCGGTCTAGGAAATTTGTTCAGGTAAAACATGAACCCGAAAGCCATCCTGAAACAGTTTCAATAGCATTTACCCTTAAACCTTCCTGCCAAATAGTGTGGTTCAAACAGTAACCTTTGTTGTTGCTGTCATTGAACTCAGAAACGTTCTTCCTTTTCCCTCACACACGTACATACAAGTGGGGAAACGGTCTTGGAACACCTGCATCTCAACAAGACTCCCGTGCCTGGGAACAGCCCCTGGCAACGGTTTGATTGTACAAGGAAGACCTATGAAGCAGAGCACATCAGCTGCTGTCRAAAGCACAGCTATAACCAAAACCATAAAAAAACGTAAAACAAAAACACTTCTGTTGTAACTGCACAGTAATTTTAAGCATGTCGATGAAGCCTGATACAATCTTTTATTTAAATAAATAAATAACCACCACCACCAAACCCTGAGAGTCACTCTGACCTGCAGGACCAGGCAAAGGTTCAAAGTCACACCAAGGCAGGCAGGGCCATGCCACACTATGGAGCACAGGGCAGCAATGGAAGTAGTAAAGAGACGAGAGAAGGGGAAAAAAAAAACTCCCAGAAAAATGTTATTTCATGACTTCCATATTTCGCTATTTACGCGATAACAATAAAACGAGACGTGCTGCTGCCAGGGCCGCGACTTCGCCGCCACGCGGGCCCGGCACAGGCCCCGCGGCGCCCGCAGCCGCCCCTCCCCGGGCCGAGGGGGCCGGGCCGGGCCGGGGGCAGGCGCCCACACTCCGCCCGCCGCCTCCCTCGCCCGGCCGGGCCGCCCTCCTCGCTCGCCCCGCGGCCGCTACTCACAGAGCCCGTTGGAGCCGGTGCTGGTGAACATGGCGGCGCGGCGGCCGCTGGCGACCGTTAGCGGCCGTTAACGGCCGGCGCGGCGCTCGCGCGGCCCGCAGGAAGCCGCGCAGACCCCGCCGGGGCACCGCTAAGGCGGCCGCGAGGGGCCAAACCGCGCCGCGCGCGAGCGGCCGGCGCCCCCTGCCGGCCGCGCCCCGCGCCAGCCGCCGCCCCAACGGTCCCAACGGCCGCGCGCGTTTACCTGCGYAACCCGAGCGCGCTTCGAGCGCCTGAGGCGTTGGAGCTGGGGCGCGGCCGTTTTCTGGTCACATCCGAGCACCGAGAGTCACTCGGACGCTCAAAACGTTGGGTATTTAAACCCTGCCAAGCCTGACGCTGTATTAACAAAGCGCCGACTGGTTTTTATTGGTGAAAGCAAAGTGTGTGCTCCCTGAGGGCCCAAGCTCTGAGCACTGTGCTGCCAAAATGGCCCAGCGGCCCCGTGCTTTGCAATTCTGCACAGCGGTGCCCTGTCCCCAGGGGTGCTGCCGGGTGCGGTGGCCTCCGCCGCTGTTCCATGGCAAAGGAGAGGGAAAAACTGAGCTCAGGAAGCTGCGGAGACAAGGACGTTTTTAGAGCCAGGAGTGGCTCGTGGCCACAAAGGATTGCGGGTTGTGATTTATCAATAGTTTGATACAAAACAACTTGCTCTGTATCCTTTATGCCCTTGAAAAATAAACTATACTGATGCATTTTCCTTTCTGCAGCCTAAGAGCTCTCTTGTTGGGGTGCTGGCGGTATACAGTATCCAAAATAGGTTGAATTATTTGAATATGTTCTTTTAATCAACCTCTGCTACAGAAGTCACGCCAGTTTGGATGAGCTACACATAGGCAAGACCATAAGTTATAGCAGGGAGCACCCTGAGCACCTGGAAAGCCAAGCAGCTTGCCTAAGATTTGAGGGAAGGTGACCTTAAAACTCAGGTATAAGTATAGGGAGAGAGAAAGAGAAAGGGAAGAAGGAAGGAAGGAAGGAACGAAGGAAGGGAGGGAGGGAGGGAGGGAGGGAGGGAGGGAGGATAGAGTCAACACGTTCAGATGAGTCTAGAGAAGCTTTCATATGGCCAAAGGAAGGTCTCCACTTTCATATGAAGCAAATTGCTCCCCAGACTGCACTGATCCACCTGTACATGTAGCTCACATGTAACATGGCAGACACCTAAGCCCGGCGGAGCCAAATTCCACCCTCAATTTCATTCAAATGTGGTATAATAAGGCTGAAATTATTGGGGCAGCAATACTTCTATCTTTTCTTCTATAAACTCTATCTTGAAGATTTCCCTGCATTTATGTTCCTACAGGGTAACCATGATGAGAAAGATTCTTATCTGCAACACTCAGCACTGGTTTTGGATGGCAGTCAGAATTACTCGACATAAACATGTATTTTTGTTGAACAGGATGCTTTTAGGCAAATATTTAAGAGCTATTTTGAATATAGCTCTGTGGACTTGTTGTTACTGAGAGATATAGCCAAACTGCATGAGTAGCAGGAGCTGGCAAGCTTCTCCTAACAACATCCCGAGCGTTTGCAGGTTTGTCAATACTGCTGGGATATTGGGAGCTGGCTCTCGATATAGTTGCCACTGTATTATTTAAGTCTATAAATATGTTAGTGAACCTATTAAATGTCTTCTGATATCCTTGTTTCAAAAAAAGATTTATTTATTCAGTCTTCTTTCTTTCTGGGATGAGATCAGATTAGATCTACCACGTGTTATGAGAAAACTGTATACTCCAAGCTAATAATTACACTTTCACAAATTGATTGAACTGTAGAATTAACTTAGTTTTTGCCTTCAGATACAGTGCCAACCAGAGACTTCATTAAAGGAAGATTATTTTTATCCGGAGATTGACAGTGTTGTCTAATAGCTTGTCATAAAAAAGTATGCAAATGCTGTGTATTATTTAAATATAGAGAGATGTCCATGTTGGAGTTAAATGAAATCACCAGTCCTCACGCTTGCCTTGGAACATGTCCCAGAATAGGAAAGCTAGCACTTATCTGCTAATCCACTTAGAACAAGCTTAGAAGGTTTTGACACTGCTCAAATGTCAGCTTAAATATCTGCATTTGTTTATTACATCAGTTAGTGGGGTCAATTTGGTATGCTCAAAATAAACCTATTTAAATTTCCGGTTCAAAAAAAGCCCCCAGGAGACTGGAGTTTACATTGCAAACTTTATTGTCATTTGACTAGCTTGCTTTCTCCTCTAAACTCACAGTGTTTTTGAACCGACTCTTAATTACTAATTAACCCGATCTCTTAACAGTCAGATGCTCCCCTGCCACATCGAATGAAGGCCAGCAGAAGAACAGACCAGAGTGGAAATGTTACACCTCACTCAGGCATTTTCTGCCTTAACCCAGTGCTGTCAGGGCTCCGCAAGTCAATGAGAAGYGTTCATACTAGCACACACGGTTATTACAGTTGCCATAATCATCTGAACTATTAGCAGATATCTGAAAAGCAATTAAACTTAATGATTTTGATACCTTCACCCTACATCTTCAGTCTCTGGGTAGAAAATAAAGTAAGTTGTGTGCAGGGGAGGATCTTCTGGCAGCATAGCTGCTGAGAGCAGTTTGTGTGAGAATAGGAGGAAAGACACAAGGCAGAGCAGTTCCCTGGGCTGAAATCAGACTCCTTGGTCCCGTCTCTGTCCAACATTATAGACTTTCTCTCACTCCCTCAGCAGCGAATAATRCTTGGCTACACATTGGACTTTTTCCCCTCTTAAAGTGTAATGTAGCTCATTTTATTGCACAGGTTTTACCGTGATGGCTCGAAGATAGACAGCTACACATTGAGCTGTTTCTAAGCTGGCAGGCTTAGAATTAAGGAGCAATAGTGTGTGAAAAGGAGGGACGTTTAGGTGGKTTTTAAGTTCTTAAAATGTGCATAAAGTAATTCTTGGCAACTGACGTTGCATCAACTTGTTGTGAAAATTTAAGTGCTCAAACGTTTAAGCACCTTTGAGTGCTCAAAGGTTTTCTATTTGTTATGGTTTTAGCCATTCCAGTGAGATCTTTATAAAACATGAAACACAAAGTTAAACTTAAGATCCATATCAATGTCCAGTAATAACCATGTCAGTAACCATTGCTGCCTAGCWGAAACACTGCTGTCACCTGGGACCCCAGAGCGGAGGCGATCGCACTGCTGGGGCTGAGCCAAGGGACCAGCTGGCAGCCAGCAGGGCCACAAGCTCCTGCTCTTTGTGCTGCTCACCTCCACCTCCAGCCACAGCCTCTCCGTGTCCGCTCCCTTTYCAGGGCATTTGGTCAGCAGCTCCATCTCCACACACCAGTAAAACCCTCCCTCCCTCCTTCAGATTTGTTGTCCTTGAGGGTAAGTTCTTCATCACAGGAGCCAGGGTCTCTACTTGGAAGAAGGTTGGGGTCCTGTGAGAAACAACAGCATTGTTCAGTGGTATAATCAGGAATGAGAACATAGTGCAAACACATCAGGAAAGCAATGTTAAAAACATGCRAATTCATGTCGGTATTTCTTAACTCTTGATTTTCACACTGATTTTTATGTTTAACRTTCTCTGTTAATATTTTCATTTCATTTGACTTAGAAAGAGGTGAAACGTCATGCTTATAAGAAGGTTTAAAAATACATCATTCCAGCTGCTTTTAACTGAGCGGCTATCATTGGATTTTAAATCAGTCCTGTGAAAGGCATTAGTTTACAACAAGTGAAACTGCAAAAGTAAGAATCTGAAGTGATGAGATTTAAGCATAGTGCATATGCTTAAAACCTTTAGAGGGCCAAAGTATTATGAATAATAATATTATTAATATTTTAATATTAATAATAATGCAGCATATTTCRCATACCTCTACACTTCCACACGTACTGGATATCAAGCACTAGCCACCTATTTTGGACTGCTTTATGTCAACTGAACTTAGCTGTGATCTGAACTTAGCACCAAATTATTGAAGATTACTATCAGCAATAGTAAAAAAYTGAAACCTCTCAGGTGTAGAAAACAACTTACACTGTTGCATGCAGTGTTGGCTGCATTAGAGGTACTATTCAGAACATTAGATTTTTAAAAGTATTTATGGAGTATTTAAAGGATTTATATCTTGATACCTATTTCATATTTCATGAAAAATTTCAGACCATGAAGTTTTCAGTAATAATAGAGCCCCAGAATGCTAAGGCTTTAATCAGACCTTGCCCCCAAATGTCATCATTCCGCTTGTATTTTATTTCATTAAATTCAGGCATRAAGAAGTAGCAGTCTAGTTCCCCCCCTAATGGTAACCGTTTCCCCCCTTATTGAGTGTCTGATCATTAGATYTATTGAAGCCAGAAAGCTGTTCTCAATGTCCTGGCTTTTGTGGGCACCAAATCTGTTTAACATTTAGTCCATGGTGGGACAGGCCTATAGCAAAGGATGCAGACTTTTTTAAAGGACATTTATTGAAATATAATGATCCCTTACACATGAGGTTAAGGTATGGTCACTTTAGAAATACACTTGCATGGCTTTTGCAAAAAAAACCTACATACGCCTTTGGGAAATAGGCATTACTTTTTTTTTTTTTTTTTTTTTTTAATTCTCTAAAAACAGTAATAATGGAATGCTAAATGCAAAAAGATCTGCACCATATAAAAGTGTACAATTTTGCCCAGGTAGGGCCTTGAAGCTGTGATCAGAATAGTAAAGGCAGCAAGCACAGAGAATCCAGCTTACCGCAATTACTCTTGATGCCACGTCCTCCAGTGCGGCCTGCTTTCCCTCGGGTAGTACAAACACACCAGTGCTCTTGGGGTCTGTAAAACCCAAGTTTAGACCTAGCCTAAAACTGAAGTGTGAGGGTAACTAAATGCAAGAGCCACATTCYCTGTTGCACGAAGGGACCTTTCTTATTTGGCCAGCTAAACGCAATTTAATACAGCTTATTATTTTTTAAAATACCCGKGCTATTTGATAGACGGGGCAGAAAGCGGGGTTGGCCACAAAACTCACCCTGCTTGAGGCCGG